GATTTAAAATAAAAATATTTTACTTTAAAATTATAATAGTTTATGTTTCTTATATGTTCTTTAATATGTGTGAAACTTCTTAAACCCGGTATATATGAAAGATAGAATTAATATTTAAATATTTTATATTTATTAAATTTAATAATTTAATAATTTTTCATTTTAATATAATAAATATTTTAATCATTCTCAATAGCGACAAAGAAAAGGATGTTAACAAAGGCCTTTTCTTTTACTTACAAATTTAAAAGAAAAAGATTAAATATTCAAACATGTCAAAAATTATAATTTTAATTGAAGCAATTATTACTAGATTTTAATTCTTTAATATTTTTTTTTCTTACATTTGTTAAAATGTTACTATATATTGAATAAACAGGCTATTTTGTAATATTTTTTTAAAAAAATCTCATTATAGATAGAATAACATTTTTTATTTCAATATTATTTTTTTCAATTGTTTTCAAAATTAAAGTCCTATATTGAATAAAAAAGTATCATATAGGTCATTTTGTAACATTTTTTTTGAAAAATGTTACTATAATTGCCTTTAAAACCAAAGTCACACATCAAGTAAAAAAAAAGTATATTTCACTCATCTCTAATTGTTACTTATAATTAAAGTCCCACGTCGAATAGATGAATGACTCATAAAGAATATATATAATCATATAGTTATACTTAAAATAAATAAACTTTGATATTTTATATATAATTAGTGGTGACTAATTAAGAATGTCTTTAATCTTCTCTTAAAATGTTTAATTAAAATTAATTATCATTTTATAAAGTTAATAAAATCTTAGCAACATTATTAAAATGGTACATAAATATTACTTTCATTTTAATATAATAAATATTTTAATCATTCTTAATAGCAACAAAGAAAAGGATGTTAACAAAGGCCTTTTCTTTTACTTACAAATTTAAAAGAAAAAGATTAAATATTCAAACATGTCAAGAATTATATAATTTTAATGGAAGCAATCACTACTAGATTTTAATTTTTTAACAACATTTTTTTCTTACATTTGTTAAAATGTTACTGTATATTGAATAAAAAGGTTCTTTTGTAACATTTTTTTTGAAAAATCTTATTATAGATAAAGTAACATTTTTTATTTTAATATTATTATTTTCAATTGTTTTCAAAATCAAATTCTCATATCAAGTAAAAAAGTGTCACATGGGTCATTTTGCAACATTATTTTTTGAAAAATGTTACTATAATTGTTTTTAAAACCAAAGTCTCACGTCGAGTAAAAAAAGGTATATTTCACTTATCTCTAATTGTTACTCATAATTAAAGTTTCACATCGAATAGATGAATGACTCATAAAGAGTATATATAATTAATCATATAGTTATACTTAAAATGAATAAACTTTGATATTTTATATACAATTAGTGGTGACTAATTAAGAATGTCTTTAATCTTCTCTTAAAATATCTAAATTGAAATTAATTATCATTTTATAAAGTTAACAAAATCTTAGCAATATCATTAAAATGTTACAAAAATATTATTTTGATAACATTTAAAAAATATTGCCTAATTATATAAAAATGTTATTAAAAGTCTTTAATAACATAAGTTATATATAATATTTGATAATATGATGTTAAAACAAATTAATAACATTTATATACAATTAAATAATATTTTTTTAAATATTATTAAAAGTCATTTGTGTTGCAGTGAATTAATGTTGAAAGTGTCATGATACTTTCTTCTCTGCAGGCCTACGTGCAACTGAAGAGGTGAATGATCTTGAGCCACTGAAGATCCAAGGGTTGATATTGCGTCAACCATTCTTTGGTGGAACGCAGAGGAGCGAGTCAGAGTTAAGACTCGAGAATAATCCAGTAATTCCATTGTGTGTTACTGATTTGATGTGGGAGTTGGCACTACCAATTGGTGCTGATCGTGACCATGAATATTGCAATCCATGGTCAGGGAATGGGGTTCAGAAATTTGATAAACTGAAGGAGCTTGGGTGGAGGGTATTGGTGAGTGGAAATGGTGAAGACCTGCTTGTGGATCGTGAGATAGAGCTAGCACAATTGATGGAAGAAAAAGGGGTGCAAGTGGTGAAGGACTTTGTAGAAGATGGGTCTCATGGAGTTGAAATTTTTTACCCATCCAAAGCAAACAAATTCATTGCCTTAGTCAAAGATTTCATTTACATGATTGATGCTTAGTAAAAATTGCTAGTGTCGTAACATGTTACTTTGGAGGAAGATATTATTGTTGATAAACTTTTATTTATTATTAATTGTTCAACACACTTTGTGTTTTTATTAAAAATAAATTTAAAATTAAAATTAAGTAATAAAAATATGCTAATTTAATTAGTATTACAAGTAGTATAAACTTTAAAGTTTTAAATTTGGTAGAAGTATTAATTTTATTTAAATTTTTTTATTAATAAAAAAGTATAATGATCTACTAAATATAAATATTAAAGTGATTACTAAAAGTGATATCCTATTTTATATTAATATAATTATAAAAATTAACCACTTATTATAAATAATAATTTGTACAAAATTATCTTATATTATCTGTCTATTACATGTTGCTAAATATGATAGTTGGAATTAACATAATAGTAATGTTAAAACACTATTATTATGGTTGCAATGAATATTAATTGGAGTATCCATTTCATGCATATTAGATATTTCTGAATTAGATAAAGAAGAAAGAAATAGTTGAAAAATGACTTAAAAAAGAAAGAAAGTAGAAATATAGGTGTTTAATTAAAAAGAAATAGGTGAGAAATGAGTAAGAAATAAAATATATATAAAAAGATGAGAGAAAAATAAATAAGGAAATGTGATCTATCACCTTTTAATTTTTCACTTTTTTATTTTTCTTCAATGAAGCAACCTAATTTATTTTTGCTCTTATATTATTATTATTTTTACTTTATTTTTTATTCATTTCTCGTTAATCGAAGAAATTATAAATGGCATAATTTCATTTAATTAAGATGATTTCATCTATTGTACTTTTGATATCGTTAGAAACGGTGATAACTTTTTTTTAATTCGAAGCATTTTATTATGTGTCACTATAACACAAATAAATTTTAGTAACATCTAAAAAAATGTTACTTAATTGTGTATAAATATTACTAATTTGTTTTAGTAATATATTATCAAATGTTGTATATAATTCATGTTGTTAAAGACTTTTAATAACATTTTTACACAATTAGGCAACATTTTTCAAATGTTTTCAAAGTAGTATTTTTGTAACATTTTAATGATGTTGCTAAGTTTTTGTTAACTTTATAAAATGATAATTTAATTTAATTTAAATATTAAATTCAATTATTATATTATTATTATATTTTTATATATCCTAAACTCCTAGGAGTTCTTTAAAAAAAGATTAAAGAAATTCTTAATTAATCACCACTAATTATATATAAAATATCAAAGTTTATTTATCTTAAGTATAACTTTATGATTATATATAATCTTTATGAGTCATTCATGTATTCGATGTAGAACTTTAATTACGGGTAACAATTAAAGATGAGAGAAATATTTTTTTTTACTAGATGTGAGATTTTGATTTTAGAAGCAATTATAGTAACATTTTTCAAAAAAAAATGTAGCAAAATAACTTATGTGACATTTTTTTACTCGATTTGAGACTTTGATTTTTAAAAACAACTAAAAAAAATAATATTGAAATAAAAAATGTTACACTATTTATAGTGATATTTTTTTAAAAAGAATGTTGCAAAATAACCTATTTATTCAACATATAGTAATATTTTAACAAATATAAGAAAGAAAGTGTTGCTAAAGAATTAAAATCTAGTAGTGTGTTTCTGATCCAATTTTATTTAATTTAACTTGTACAAATTGTTTTTTTTTTATTTTGCTGTCAATATTTTTCATTGTCTTACTCATTTTTAAATTCAGTTTTTGTAAATATTTTGATATAACTTGTTTCAATTAGTTTAATGCCGGTTCTCAGGGTATTCATCAATATATTAATTGAGTGCTAGCTCCAATTTTTATTTCACCAATTCTACTCTTGACTTGTGTTAAAATGAACTCAAGTTATCCAATTCGATTTCTCTTCCCTTTTTTCTTGTAATACTTAATTATGTGTGTATTACATCACTTACTAAACGCCACTTTTTTTTTTTTATTATGGAGACAACATGATCACATCAACTCCCCAAACCTAAATCACTAGATTCATTAAGGATTAGATGTTCATTTCACATTTGGACTTACTTAATTTTAGAAATATGAAAGCTATTTAGTAAGAATAAAAATTCCATTAATTGAATGACACAGAGAGAAGAGAAGCAGAAAATTTGTAAAAATGTGTAACTGTTTCTTATTGCTTTATAGTGGAGTAAAGACACTTATAACAAACTAACCATCCGAGAGTCAGTTTTACAGCTGCTCTCTTTACAGTTCACTCACATACCCCATCACAAACCTAAGTTGGGTGAGCAACAGAGGATAGCTCAACAACTTTGAGTTTGTCTCTCAAAAGTAAAAATCTAGCAGATTGATAAGGGTTTTGTTAAAGCATCAGCCCATTGATCTTGAGCTGGAACATGCTGAACACTGAGTTGCTTGGCAAGAATTTTCTTTCAAACAAAAAAAAAGGATTGATCTCTATATGTTTGGTCCTAGAATGAAGAACAAGGTTGTGAGATAAAGAGACTGTGCTTTGATTGCCACATTAGATAACTGGGTAGAGAAAGGAATTCCTAATTCATGAAGAAGAGTTTCAATCCATAGCACTTCAACAGTTGCTTGAGCCAAACTTTGATATTCAGCCTTGGTACTTGATGTAGTAACTACATGTTGTTTTCTAGACCACCATGATGAGATTAGATTAGGTCCAAAAAAGATAGTTGCACCAAATGTTGACCTTCTGTCATCAAGATCAGGAACCTAATCAGCATCACAAAATGCATGGAGCTGAAATGTTTGATGAGTTCCAACAACCTTAAGGTGTAAACCATGATTCAATGTACCTTTAAGATACCTTAAAATCCTTTTTACTGCATTCCAATGACTCTCAAGAGGATTGGGCATAAACTGGTAGACTTTATTGACAACAAAACTTATTTTAGGTCTAGTTATTATGACATATTGCAGTACTCCAACAACTGACCTGTAGAAGGTAGAATTAGTCATCGTATCAGACCCATGCTTAGATAGCTTGGAACTAGAAACCTTAGGAGTTGAAATAGGTTTGGCTTCAAGCATGTTGGTTTTTTGAAGAAGGTCACGAATATTTTTGCTCTACGTGAGGAGAATAAAGCCATTTTGTTGGTGTTTGACCTTTATTCCCAAAAAGTAATCCAACTTTCCAAGATGCTTTAGAGAAAATATAGCATTAAGTTGACAAATAAGGTGTTGAGTAAACTAAGATGAAATTCCATTGATGATAATATCATCTACATAGACTGAAAGATAGACAACATTGTTATTTATGTGATAAATAAAAAGAGAAGGATTACATTTGCTAGCCTTAAACCCAAACTATAGCAGAGTAGTTTGCAATCTGTCAAACCATTGCCTTGGAGCTTGTTTCAGGCCATACAAGGCTTTGTTCAACTTGCAGACCATAGTAGAGTCAGTCTCAAAACTTGGTGACTGATGCATATAAAAAGTTTCATTAAGCAGACCATTTAAAAAGGAATTATTAACATCTAATTGATGAATTTCCCAATTATTTATAATAACCAAAGTGAGAATCAATCTAATAGTCACAAGTTTAATGTCAGGAGAGAATGTTTTGTTGAAATTAAAGCCATGTTGTTGATGAAATCCTTTAGCCACCAATCTGGCTTTGTACCTATTTACAGTACCATCAAGATTTTCTTTAATTTTGAAAACCCACTTGCAACCTATAACTTTCTTGTTTTGTGGAAGATTAACAAGTGTTGTTAATCGAAGCATTATATTCATGTTGCATAGTTGCTAACCACTTAGGATCCTTCAAGGCTTGCCTAACACTCTTTGGTTCATATTCAATGAGAAAGATAGAATAATGTAATTTGGGTTTTGAAATACCAGACTTAGATCCGGTTTTCATAGGATGAACATTTTGAGATGTGATAGGTAGAGAAGACTCTGTATTGAGAGGAGGCACAAAAAAATTAGTATTGTTAGATAGATTTGTGATGCATGAAGAGTTAAGAGAAGAATCTGTACTAGAATCATGACTGGGATTAGTGGTGACAACAGGAACATTAGAATTGTGTACAATAATTTGTGGAGACAAGGTTTTTAGGATAGGAATTGAAGCTGAAGTAACATGTTGAGAGGTGTCTATTGAATGTAATAGTGGATTGATATTATTGGGAAATAAATCATAGTAAGGAAATCTATACTCATTGAAAACAACATCTTTGGATATAAAGATCCTTCCTGTTGGAGAAAGACATTTATAACCTTTGTGAGAGCTGGAATATCCTAGAAATACACACTCATGAGAACTAAAGTTTAGTTTGTGATTATTGTAAGGTCTAAGAAGAGGAAAACATGCACAACCAAAGGTTTTTAGAAATTTGTAATCTGGAATTTGTTTGAACAATACATTATAAGGGACATCCAACTTGAGAGAGGTAGTTGGTAATTTGTTTATAAGATAAACCACAGAAGTGAAGGCTGAATCGCAAAATTTTAAAGGTAGAGAAGCATGACTAAGCAAAGTTAAGCTAAGTTCTATAATATGTCTATGTTTTCTTTCAATTACCCTATTTTGATGATGAGTATGAGGGTATAAGTCTGTGATTAATCCCTAGGTCTTTCAGATATTTAGTAAATGGTCTAAATTCACATCCCCAGTCAGTTTGGAGATTTTTAAGCCGAGTATTAAATTGTAATTCCACCATGGCTTTAATCTGTTTAAAGATAGTAAATGTATCACACTTATTTTTCAGAAAATATATCCATGTAAAGCATGGATGAGCATCAAAAAAACTTAGATAATATTTGTAGTTATTTGAGGATTGTATAGGGGTTGGTCCCCACAAGTCGCTATACACTAATTCTAAAGGAGTATTATAGACAGATTCAGACAAGAAGAGGGATACCGATGTGCTTTTCCAATATAGCAAGCAACACAAAAGAATTGATCATTTTTATTCAAATAGGAACATTACGTTGTTGTAGAACAATTCTCTGAACATGAGAATTTGGATGTCCTAGTCTAGCATGCCATAAGGCCTGAGAACTAGTCCTAGAATTATTCAAGGCATCAACATCAGTATTTACATCATTAGGAAT